AATTGGTTTATTATAACATAATTGTATCATCAGAATAATCTTGTTCTAATATTTTAATTAATATATATTTTAATTATAATAAACTATTATATATATATATATATATTGTAATTTTGTTACTGCTAGAGATATATATTTATTTGTATCATAAAGTATTAATTTAAAAATTTTAATTGCCATTTAAATAAAATAGCAATATTTTTAAATTTTATTTTTCAACACTTAAATAATAAAGTATCTAGTTACTGATAAATAAATATTGCTTCAAACATAAACTTTATATATGTATAAGTTATACATATAAATTAAGTTTTATATTTATATATGTCTAAATGTAAGTATTAAATGCATAATATATGAATGTACCCAGCTAACCATTTCTGCGGAGGCAAATGTAGGCAACAACTTTTGTTTGTAAAATGGCAGATAAGAAACATTTTGTCATTACAAACACTGTGAGTATAAATTCAATAAATATTTCCCAACATCTGTTAGCAGACTATATTGACAAAGTGGCAATGAGTAGCAAGCAGATCTGTCGAAAGTGTTGACAACAGATTGATGCCAAAAATGCAGCAGATCCTTTAGATTTTAGATCTAGGATTTTTCTTCGATTTGCTGAGCATTTGACGCAAATCTGTTCTCAATTTATGATTGACAAATCTGTTCCCAGTCTGTTGCCAATCTGTCGTCGCACTGTTAGTGACAGATGTGCTCTGGCGTTGCACCCAACTTGATGTTAGGATATACTTTCAACTTTTGATTGCAATTAGAGCGAACTCGAGGACACAGTAGGCCCTGGATTTGCAGCCATATTTAGTCGTATTTTGTTTCCCGATTGTTAACAATTTCCAAGTAAATGGTTAGTTGGGTAAGTATTACATTTATACTTTGAAGTAAAAATTTCATAAATTAATTAATTACGCAATTGGTTAAAAATGTAAATAATATAGAAAATATATAAAATATTAATATAACAGTGGAAAATAAGATATAAAATATAAAAAAAAAACTTGGCAAAATTGATTTCGGCGCAACTAGCAATTTTATTCAATACTTTCACGACGTTTCGACCATTTGGTTGTGGTCCTTATCAAGTGAGAATTCTATAACACAATATTACACAATAGTTTTTAACAATGTTGAAACATACAAGAACATATTTAAATGTTAAGTTATGACCACAAACACAAACATACCTATCAATTAAAATGAGATTAACGCAACATAAAACCGATCTTATTTAAAATTAATAGTTAAAAGAGGAACACGTCCCATTGCTATGATGTTTCGTCAACGACTAAATTTGAAACGCACCACTAAACAATCTTTATTATTTTGTCGTAAATATTTGTCAAATTCTCAGTGTCTTTCTGTAGGTTAACAGTATTATCATGCTTCTTTATGAAGAACATTTCAGCAATCTCTCTCTTTCTTACATGTTTCTCATTATGTAAAATGATCGGTGATTTCCAATTAAAGTCATGTCCAAAATCACATCTGTGTTTACTCAAAACCGAATGATTAGACTCATGTAATTTAATATTGCTAGCATGTTCCTTCACTCTAGTGCATAAATGTCTTTTCGTTTGTCCAATGTATATGAGGCATTACAATTTTCACAATTAATCTTGTATACTACATTCGTTTTTATATCATTAGTTATTAAATCTTTACCTCGTTTTATCAGCCTATTCAACATTGTTAAAAACTATTGTGTAATATTGTGTTATAGAATTCTCACTTGATAAGGACACAACCAAATGATGGAAACGTCGTGAAAGTATTGAATAAAATTGCTAGTTACGTCGAAATCAATTTTGCCAAGTTTATTTTCACCACTAGCGTCCAATATTAATTTTGATTGATAAAATAAAAAAATATATCGGACGTTTTGCGTCAAAAGTCACACCGGACTGCCCATTTTTCACTTAAGAGTAAAGGGTCGTATTAGGGCTTAAATTTTAGCTTTTTTTACGTAGAATCGAATGCCGTCTGGTGAATTTTGATAAATTCAAAATGGCGACCATGGTAACGCTATTTTCGCCAAAATCGCCAAAATTAAGCAGAAAAAAACGGATAGCGTCACCATGGTCGCCATTTTGAATTTATCAAAATTCACCAGACGGCATTCGATTCTACGTAAAAAAAGCTAAAATTTAAGCCCTAATACGATTCTCTACTCTTAATTGTGAAAAATAGGCAGCCCGGTGTGCCTTTTGCCGTAAAACGTCCGATTATATACAGGGTAGGCCATTTTAATCTTTCCACTAAAATTTCTCAAAATCCAAAAATTTAAGACAAAAATGTTTCAGATAAAAGTTGTATGGTTTCAAGGGGGACATGAGATGATGTCATTGATTTGACCTTGAATAGCCATTTGAAGGTTACGTGAAGGTCAACTTCAATTTCTTAAATGGAACACTATATTTTTTCTTGCATACTTTTGTAGCTGACTTCGAGATCTTTCCAAAACACTACAATAAAATATTTTTTCATGAAGTATTTTTCGAGTTATTAAGGCTGCAAATTTGCAGTATTTTGACATAAAATACAAAATATCTTGGGAAATATTCATTTTTCGATTATCATACCTTAATACTTTTATGCACAGAATAATGAGATGAATCAGTTAATGTAAAGAAAACACATAGTTACCTTTAAAAAAAAATATGAAAATTGCAATAAGCAGTTAGATAATTTATTTCAAGTAAACAATATTAAAATTCAATTGATTCGTCTCATTATTCTGTGCATAAAAGTATTAAGGTATGATAATCGAAAAATAAATATTTCCCAAGATATTTTGTATTTTATGTCAAAATACTGCAAATTTGCAGCCTTAATAACTCGAAAAATACTTCATGAAAAAATATTTTATTGTAGTGTTTTGGAAAGATCTCGAAGTCAGCTACAAAAGTATGCAAGAAAAAATATAGTGTTCCATTTAAGAAATTGAAGTTGACCTTCACGTAACCTTCAAATGGCTATTCAAGGTCAAATCAATGACATCATCTCATGTCCCCCTTGAAACCATACAACTTTTATCTGAAACATTTTTGTCTTAAATTTTTGGATTTTGAGAAATTTTAGTGGAAAGATTAAAATGGCCTACCCTGTATATATATATATATATATATATATATATATATATATATATATATATATATATTTCTATATAAAAAATTTTTAATATTTAATATTTAAAAGATCCTATTCCACATATTTCTAAATTTATACTTTATATATTTTATTGTTATTTATTGTGTGTTACATTTAATCGCTATATATTTCAATATAAAAAATCTTTTCTATTTCTATATTTAATATTTAAAAAATCCTATTCCAAATATTTTTATATTTATAAAAATTATTTTATTCTAAAAAATGGTAATAATTTAATCGACCAACTCTGGCAAATAAGTAATTTTATTGAATTTTTACAACGTTTCGGCCGTGGGTTTCGGCCCTTATCAAGTGCTATGTTCTTAAATCAAAGTAAATCACAATTTTTTAAAAAACAAAAATTCGATCTTAGAATATGACATCATATAATAACATGATAGTATGAAACGAAATAACTAATTGATAGTTAACGTTGTAAAAATTTAATAAAATTACTTATTTGTCAGAGTTGGTCGATTGAATTATTACCATTTTTTTATTATTATCTGGTGACTTCATAGTTTTATATCACTTATTTTATTCTTATTTGTTGTGCGTTACCATTTATAATCTTTATATAATATATAAAAAAATCCTATTCCTATATTAAATATTTAAAAAATCTTATTCCAAATATTTGTATATTTATATTTTATATAATTTAAGCATATTTATTGTGCGTCACATTATTTAATCGTTACATATTCCTATTATATATATAAACCTATTTTTAATATTGCAAATATTTTTTCCATTGTACTTTTAAATTGGAATTTTTTTATTAATTATACAATTGTTTAAAACTGCGAATAATATATAAAATATATAAAATATTAATAATATAACAGTAAAGAATATAGGATATAAATGAAAAAATGTGTATTTCTAAAATTATATATATTATTATAAATATGATATTTTTAAATCGACCAATAGAGCCCAAGCGCGAAAAATTAATTCTTCGGAACTGCATTTCTTGGTTTGAGATTACTAAGTTCCATATATAAATTAATCTCCAACTTACATATGAAGAAATAAGCGAGAAAAATATAAGTCCGAAAAGTCGAGATTAATTTATATATGGAACTTATTGTTAGTAATGTCAAACCAAGAGATACAGTTCCGAAGAATTAATTTTTCGCGCTTGGGCTTTATTGGCCGATTTAAAAATATCATATTTATATATTATTATTAATACTGAGAGCCGATAAAAATATTTCTTATCTGATTATATATATTATTATTCATAAATTGATTTTTATAAAAGAACATTAATTTCCAAAAGTAAAATATTCTCAAAAGAAAATTAAAAAAAAACAATTTAACAATCCTAATCCTAATATTTAATATTTAAAAAATCTTATTACAGATATTTCTATATTTATCTTTAATATATTTTATTCTTATTTAATGTGCGTTAAATTTAATCGTTACATATCCCTATTAAACTTATTTTTAATATTGTAAATATTTTTCTATTCTGCTTTGAAATTGGAATTTTTTTATTAATTATACAATTGTTTAAGAATGCGAATAATATGTAGAAAATATATAAAATATTAATATAACAGTAGAAAATATGGGATATAAATAAATATATATATATATATATTATTTATAAATTGATTTTTATGAAAAATACTTTTTTGCGAGAAAAACATAACCATGGATAACACGACACGATTGGCTATTGAATAGTGAATTTTTCAAGTCCCCAGAAATTTTTCTATCCGACAACCAATCGCGTGTGATATCGCTCGATAAAATATCGCGCGAACGCAATCGATCGATATACATAATATTCTTTTGGCATTACCGACCGAGCGGGGCGACAGGTGTGACGTCACGGCTCGACCGTCTCGTGCGAGGCATCTCGGGTAATATACACGATTCGCCATCTTGGACATGGTATGGCTCGGCACTGCTGCTACTCGGCTACATAGTGCGTGCGGCGAGCAAAGGAAGACATGCGAGGTTTCGAGCGGACGGCGCATTATTACGCTGCGTTGAGCCCGGCGTAAGATAGATAATCTCGATCGACGACAACCAGCGGCAACACGACGACTCTTCCTTCTCTCTCTCTGTCTCTCTCGCCTCGCGAGATGGAGGCGGTGAAGGCGTTCAACGCGGAGGTAAGCGACACCGCCGGAGAGGAGAGCATCCTTCTACTCGGAGGCGGCTCTCGGAGGGCGGTGTTTCTTTATTTCTTCGAGGGAGAGTCTCGTCCTCGACCCGAGTTGCCTCTTAGTCTCGTGCTAATAAGGACACGTCTCCAAGCTCGCTCTTGCTCTCTCTCTTTCCATCTTTCTCTCTCTCACTCTCGCGCGCGCATTTCAGCTATATTACTATATTATAGTCACTGTACTATACTCGAAATTCTCTTTATCCTTGAACACATTCAATGTAGCTTCAATATAGCACAAATGATGAGATATATTTATTCTATGTTATGCATTCTTCGTGTTATGGTTGTGGCAAGAAAAATTATTATGAAAAGATATAATGGATCTTGGTACAATCGTGCTACTACTACTATAATTAATTTGTAATAAATTGTTATTTGATTACAGCTGTCCGCTCTTTACGAAGTTAAACCGCCTATTTCAAAAGCCAAGATGAATTCACTTACACGGGGAGCCATCAAAGCAATAAAATTCTATAAGCATGTTGTACAAAGTGTAGAGAAATTTATTCAAAAGGTAAATATATTTATTTAATTTTTTTTTTAATATATCTGAATATCTTCTAATTTTTTTTTCTAGTGCAAGGCAGAATACAAAGTACCAGGATTATATGTAATAGATTCAATTGTCAGACAATCTCGACATCAGTTTGGGATGGAGAAAGATGTGTTTGCTCCGCGATTTGCGAAAAATATGCAGACCACTTTTCTCAATCTTTTAAAGTGCCCACAAGAAGATAAAAGCAAAGTTATACGTGTATTGAATCTTTGGCAAAAGAATGCGGTTTTCCCTCCGGAAGTCATTCAACCACTCTTTGATCTGGCTGATCCAAATCATCCGATACATAAGGAGCAGCCAGTAAATAGCAATGGTAAATAAGACAAAAAATATCTGAATTATATTAATGCACTGATAAAGGTTAAAAAAAGGATAAAATGGTTTATTTTTTTATTAGTATTGTTAATTTATAATAAATTTATTTGTGCTCTATATACTACATTTGCTCCTATTACTTTTTAAAATGTTTTTATGAATTATTGGAGCCTTTTGTGAATAAAAATTAAATTTCCTTTTCTTTAAAAGTGTATGTTAAGTTGATTACTCGAATATATCGAAGCGTTAAAACCTCTTTCTGTGATGCTGATTGGATGCTGGCGTGTTGTGATATATTCGTGGTTAGGGTAGGTGTGTAGCGTTCGAGCGCCTTGTAATGTATAAATGATGTGTTCTATTATATATTTGAATTCCCAAATTTAATTCAATGAATTAAAATTATGTATATAATAGAAATTCGAGAATTAAAATTATGTACATAATTGAAATTCAACAAATTAAAATTATGTGCCCTCGCGGAGAAAAAGTTTGTTTTGCGCGAACCGTGCGCTTGTGTTATCTAGTATATTAATAAATTAATTAATATTTTAACATTGCTAGGTACATTAAATACATCATCTGGAAATAATATAAGTAATGTAAATGCAGTCACAAAGACTCCACCGTCTGCTATTAAAAATGCTGTAAAGGATGTAAAACTATTTTCAACTGGAAAAACGATTGATCCGATATGGCTAGCACAAACAAAAGTAGAGGCAGCGAATTTGGCCAATGCCAAACTACTGGTAGTATTAACCTCTGGTTGCATTATAAACTTGATCAACATTCATTGATTTAATTGTTTTTCTTTTTTTTTTCTTTTTTTTACAGAGCCAATCTAACTCCAGTAAAATGGACCCTTCTATTTTTGATCAGTTACAATGTTTACAACAGTTACTTTTGAAAAAGCAGGATGTTGTAAATGAACCAAAGAGTTCAGTTAAGTTTGATAAGAAATTGCTAGACTTTGATTACGGTGAAGAGGAAGATGATGATGTCGTTATTGCTAATTCTCCAAACACAGCTGCATCGGTCAACACTCAACACAATGCGGTTTCAGCAAACAGTAGTCTAGAGAGCTTGGGGCTGTTGCTTGCAAATCCAGAAGTATTTATTGAATATAAATAAATATGAAACTTTAATAACATTATATATATTGTGCATTTTGTGTTATTTGAAGGTTCTGAGACAGTTGCAAACTTTACAACAATTACAAAACAATGCTTCTTCTTCGCAATATGAAATGGAAGAGAAGATGCGCAAGTTGCAACAAATGAAACAGCAGGAAGAAGAATTTGATAAACATTTAGCACAAACTGTTCCTGTAAGTTGTTTAAGTAATTTTATTTTAAAAAAACTTTTTTTCTTAGATATGTATGTATATATATTTCTATAGGAAAATGCTGAAACTAATCAGTTATGATTTTTTAATGCATGCAGTTATTGAGAAAACAAAAATTATGTTGAAAATAGGAAAGTCTACAGTTTTTACTAGATACAAATAAAATATTTATATACCAGTTTATTTTAACATTGCTAGGTACATTAAATACATATTTTTGATAAAAAGTAATGAAAATAGTGCTAATAATCACATATGTAAACTAATGATAATTATTTTTGAAGTGCACACCATTTAATTTTGTACAAAATTCTATTCTTTTACGAAAACTAGTAAAAATTTTTTCTAACATGTCATTTTTAATGTTATTGATGATTTTTTTAATACCTGCTATTAAATTTGGCACTTAAAAATATTTATCATTAGTTTATGTGATTATTAGCACTTTTTTCATTACTTTTTATCAATAAAATAAACTAAGATACAAACATTTTATTTGTATCCATTAAAAACTGTAGACTTTCCTCTTTTCAACACAATTTTTGTTTTCTCAATAACTGCACTTTATTAAAAAATGAAATATGTGTGTATATATAACTAATGATAAATATTTTTAACAGTGCCAAATTTAATAGCAGGTATTAAAAAGATCGTCAATAACATTAAAAATGACATGTTAGAAAAAGTTTTTAAAGTACACATATGTAGAAGAGAATAATGATTTATACCAAATTTTTTCTTTTGTAGAATCTTCCATTTGCATCTGAATGTGAATTGAAGCCTTCTGATATTTTAAAACCAAATATCCAAAGTTACACATCAAATGTGAACAGCAACGTGTTACAAGATATGAGTCAGCCACCGCCTGGCTATCCGCCAGCTCTGCCATATACGTCACAATCTTTACCAAACATTCGACAAATCAATCAATCTGCACATCAGAATCAAAAGAGCCCATTGCTGGACGAACGTCCAGAAATGCAAGACTATTCTGGGTAAATAATCAATAAATTCAAATAATAATTTCAGTATAATAATTCTTTAAATGAGAACCTCTTGCAGAAACAATGCCAGACGTGATAGTAGCAGTGTAGAAATTGTAAATTGTGAAAATACGAGCTCACAAAGTAGATCGCCAGATCGGTATCGACATCACAGTCGGTCTCGGTCCCCACGTCATAGAGACAGAGATCGAGACAGAGATAGGAAATCCCGTTCCAGAAGTAGATCGCGACGGAGAAGGTAATAATTTAAAATTATTTAAGGCTTCTAGATCCTCGCCACGACCATGTTAAATTGTGAATGCAAGCGAGAAAGCACACTCTGAAAATTCTTAGTCAGGGTGTATACTCTCTGGAAAAAGCTGGAATTTTCAGGGATTTTATTGTATCTTGAAACATCCTGGAATTATGGAATTTGATTTAAACTCACGAAATTTAAAAAGAATTGCTTCTTTGAATTTAAAATATAGTTTTAAAGAATATAAAATGCATTAGTTTTATATAAAGTATATATTAAAATATATTTTATTATAATATAATACTATATTACATTATTATATGAAAAAAATACTTCATTTATGTTAAAAAATTATGTATACAAATAATTATTTCAAAATTATATTCTAAATATTATTTAAAATATTTTAATTTTACCTGGAATTTTGAACAAAAATACCTGAAAAATCATGGAATCCTCAGGGAATTTATTTTTAAGATTTGAGTATACATCCTAAGATTTGAGTAATTACATCCTGTTACATCCTGTTAACGCTTTCTCGCCTCTGACAATCTAATATGCCCGCAGCGAGGACCCAAGAGCTTTCATGTTATTTAAAAATAGAATTAAGTCAAATTGTCTTTATAATTAAAACTTGAAAAATATTAAATTGATAATATGAAAAAAGGCATAAATCTATTTTTTCTCATTGTTGATTGTGTATATTTTATAGATCTCGTTCAAGAGACAGAGGGCGCGACAGAAAACGCGATGATAGCCGCGAAAAGTTGACGGAAGAAGAGCGGGAGAAAGAAAGAGAGCGACGAAAACGTGGTTTACCACCGATAGTTAGGGATAAATTAAGTGGTATGTTATGTGTTCCAAGATAATATTTCTAAGATTTTTTATATACCTCGTTTAAAACAAAAAAGAGAATAACAAATGTGATTTTTAGTTTGCAGTACGACACTTTGGGTGGGACATTTATCGAAACTTGTGCATCAAGAAGAATTATCGGACACTTTTGGAGAACTTGGCGATATTGTTAGTATTGACTTAATCTCACCAAGAGGTTGTGCTTTTATATGTATGAATCGAAGACAGGATGCATATCGAGCACTTACAAAATTGAAAAATCACAAAATGCAAGGCAAAGCTATTACGGTAAATAAATAATTGTTTGCAACATAACTTGAATGTCAAGAAAAATTTGTATTCCATAGCGTAATTATATATTCTAATTACAGTTAGCATGGGCGCCTGGTAAAGGCGTAAAAGGCAAAGAATGGAAAGATTATTGGGAAGTAGAACTGGGTGTTAGTTATATTCCTTGGAATAAATTGATTAACATTACTGATCAAGACTTGGAATTGTTGGAAGAAGGCGGCATGATAGACGAAGATACATTACCTCCTCCTCAGGAGAGACGTTTTATTAAGTTATTTGTATAGTAAAAGGAAAGTGAAGGAGGAGAGAGAGAGAGAGGGAGAGAGGGGGGAGGAGAGGGTGGAGAGAGGAGAGAGAGAGGGAGAGTATTTGTGTTTGCAATTTAGATTTATTTTATGTTTACAATTTATTACTATTTTTCTTTAAAATTATTATAGATATTACAGTTTCTAAATTAAAAAGCAGTTGCAAGTTTAATTTACTAATTATTAATTGAAAAAAAGTTATTGATTTCAAATAAATATCTATTTCAATAGTGCCATTAACACCATTTGTTTCAAACTAATAATATTAATTTATCGTGAAAAAATACTTATTTTTCATATAAGTATTTTATATAAGATATAAGAAATTTTTTTAAAACAGATATTTATTTGTTTCAAACAAATAGTGTTAATGACACTATTGGAATACATTTATTTGAAATCAATAGCTTTTGTGCAACCAGCGCGCAAAAAGTCGCCCTTTACGCACATGATGGGATTTTAGAAAGGGCTCCCTTTCCACGCACCGGTCACACAAAGGGTGCGTTCCGTTATGCACTGCAAGTACTGACAGTACTACCAATAGCGTTCCGATATAGATAGCAGTGCACTGCGAAAGTACTATCATGAGTATATGACGTCATTAATTTTGACGTTATTTCCTGTTGCGATTACTGCAACCGGCGAGGTAAAGCACTCGCAGTAATCAAGATGGCTACCTCCATGTGTACGATGGAACTAACTTTTAAATTCCATATCTGAATATAATGATACAATATTTTTAACGTAATTTTTACATTTTATTCTAGGTATTTTAATTTGTCGTCTCATTTCATTTATTAATTCCATTTCCAAATCGCTTTCACTTGATGACTCACTCGAATCATATATATTCTCGATTAAATTATATGTAATTAATGCAATAATGGTATTATCCATTTCACCAATTTTTCACTCGATGATTATTAGCGAAAAAGGTTAGTTAAAAGTCTGCTGAAAGCGTACTGTAGTGCGTTCCGTTTTTACTATTTTGCAGTAGCTTCAAAGTGCACAAAATTAAAAAGGAACGCTGTCAACAGTACACTTGCATGACGTCATAGTGCCAGTACTTGCAGTGCATAACGGAACGCACCCCAAAATATCGTAGCCAACATGTACGGGTCATAAATCGACCGATCGTGCGGATTGTCACACTCGGCTTCACCTCGTACGCCAAACTTCCGCACTCTCGGCCGATTTACGATCCCCCGCATTGTTAGCTAATATACTATTTTTCCAGTGTAGTTACATATATTAAATAAAGTCATGTAACTTGAACCAACTTGAGAGATAAAATCAGATTAATGACTATGAAATCGTGTAATTTAGATTGGTTATAATTCAAGTCTGAAACAAATTTTAATGATAATATTGTCGATTCTATGTAGTTTTATATAAAATAAGTTGCTAACATTTGGTAAAAAGTCTAATCAATTTTGTGTATTATATATTTATTATATATTTATTACATTATTTTTTACACTATATATTGTAATTTGTAATAGATCTTAAAACTGCATTCTCTTTCACAGGAAAACTAAAGCATGCTGGCACGAGCACCGATATCCTACAACAACAGCTTCAGCTACAACAGCAAGCGCTTGCTGCCGCTACTGGTGCTCCTATTCCCACGTTAACAGACGGGATTGTGAACGTTATACAGTCGTCGGCTGGTTCGCAGCAACAGCAGCAGCAACAACAATTAGTCGACACCAGCCAACCGCCGCCAATCAGACCGCCAACATCGGCTGCGCTACTGCCACCTCCAAATACGCAGCTGCAGATGATGCCTCCGGCCTTTACGATGCCCGGAGTGCCACGTAAGTTTGCTATATTTATCACAACGACATTTTCCAAGCACAAGTTTTTTTCGTTTATTTCTTTATAAATTATACATACGTTTATGATAAAAAAATTAATTAATGTATAAGATATCCCATTTTAATTAATATAGTCGAACATTGCTAAAACTATATGAAACTAACTATGAAAACACGAGAAAATAATTTAAAGTTACAAGGTTTTGTGAAGGAAAAAAGTTAATAACTTTGAATTTTAATTGAATTCATTTTTCAAGGTTTTTTGAAAGTCAACCTAGTTTTTTTTAATGGAACTAATTAATTTTTTATATAAATTATATATTATTCTATATATGTTAATTAATTATTAACTGTGTATCGTAGTCGCTAGATTAAGAAATAAAATTAAAATTTATTAAATTCATAAAACGACCAATACTAAATATAGGTCTTTATCAAATGATTAATCCATTTAAGATGACAATATAATTAAAGTAGTACGAGTTCTTAAGACCATATCTACTACTATATACGAAAACTTGCGTCTCTATATATATATATATATATATATATATATATATATATACAGGGTAGTCAAAAGTATCGGACCCCCCCAATATTTCCGTTCCCTTGCATTTTACAAGAAAATGTTTCAGACAAAAGTTGTAGGGTTTAAAAAGATCTATTTACTGATCTTATCAGTTTGACCTTGGATGGCGTCGCCAAGGTCAGATCGAAATTACATTAACTTTTTTAAACGGAACACCTAACTTTTTATTGCATATTCTTGTAGCTTATCTCGAGACCTTTCCAAAACACTACAAGAAAGTTTATTTTCGTTGAGTACTTTCCGAGTTGTGAGGCTTGAAAGCTACAGTGTACTGTAGTGTGGGTCCAGCCAGTTAAGGCAAGAGTGGCGTGTGGGTCCGGCCAGCTGGACCCACACGCCACTCTTGCCTTAACTGGCTGGAGACACGCCACACTTGCCTTAACTGGCCGGACCCACACGCCACTCTTGCCTTAACTGGCTGGACCCACACTACAGTACACTGTAGCTTTCAAGCCTCACAACTCGGAAAGTACTCAACGAAAATAAACTTTCTTGTAGTGTTTTGGAAAGGTCTCGAGATAAGCTACAAGAATATGCAATAAAAAGTTAGGTGTTCCGTTTAAAAAAGTTAATGTAATTTCGATCTGACCTTGGCGACGCCATCCAAGGTCAAACTGATAAGATCAGTAAATAGATCTTTTTAAACCCTACAACTTTTGTCTGAAACATTTTCTTGTAAAATGCAAGGGAACGGAAATATTGGGGGGGTCCGATACTTTTTGACTACCCTGTATATATATATATATATATATATATATATATATATATTGCAATATTTGACTTAAATTGTAAGAGTAGAATAACAATTGAATGATTTGATATTTTTATAATTTTATTTAAGATTGGGTCCTCGTCAGAACCTACAGAGCATACTGAAAGCACAATGAAATGTTATTTCGATGAAACACTACTTCAGATGGCTTTAGCCCACTTTTAAGAATACCTCGAAAACTATTCTTTTTCCTTGACAGTTAAAAATCAATAACTGTAAAATGATTTCAGACTTTATCATTGGAATGACTGCGTATGTGCAAAGATCAGACAGATTGAGTTTCATATTACAATAATTGTGCAATTGTTGATGATTATAAAAGAAAAAGGATAGGTTTTGAGATATTTTAAGAGTGTGCTAAAACCATCTATAGTACAATTTCATCGAAATATCTTTTATTTCTCATCTAAGAATTTTTAGAAATGGTATCTAAGAATTTTTAGCATGTTTTCTCGCCTCTGATGTAACAATTCCAACATGATCGGCGAGAAGCTAGGATTAATTAATGTACAAGATGTCCCATTTTAATTAATATAGTCGAATATTGTGAAAACTATGAGAAATTATACACAAGAAAATACTTCAAATAATTTCGAAAAAATATTAATGTCTTTGAATTTTAACTTCTGAATTTATTTTTCAAGATCATTTAAAGGTTAACTTTTTTAATAAACACTAATTTTTTTATATAAATTATATATGTATAGATTTTGTGCAATATTGAACATTATAAGAATAGAAAGTCTCAAAATTGAATTTGAGATATTTTATAATTTAATTTAACATAATTTTATATAAACCATAATAAAAATAAAATGTTAAAAAATGCATAAAATGTTTTGTAAAATATTCAATTTACCTCAATAACGTTTATAAACATAAAATAAAAAATTAATTAATGTAACAAAAATACATGATTGTTGTTAAGAAAAAGTATATAATTTGCAATTATTGTACATATTTTTATTATACAAATATATACGTTTTTTCTTTATCATTGACTTATACTTTTGACAAGTATATTTTTACTTATTATATGTATGCAGATTTGCCATGTATAACAATATGTAATGAGAAAACATTGAGAAAACATATTAATACTTAAATGATTATTTCAATATACGCGAATACAAATTCATAGTAAAATGGCCTCCCATTTTCCCTTATGGTTTTTTTGATTACGGCAATATGTAATTTTTATGCATCATAAATCTTACAGGAATGATTAGTCACATGGGCCTACAAATGACGCACGGGTTAATGCCCAATGTCCCGATCGGAGTTCCGCCACCTAACATGCAGAGTTTGCTGGGACCACCAGGCATGATGCAGACTATGTTAACGCCATCAGTTAACCCGCCATTCGGAGCAGGTGTTGGCGTAAGTTTATTGACGCAAATCCCGATGCCCGCGCCTGCTGCAGCGCCTTCGGATAAGCCAAATTCCACCGGTATGTACACAATAAGCGTTGTTAATAAAACGTGAAATAGTCGCTACACATTAATCTATTACTACAGTTTTACATATACAAGATGTTTATAAACTTGGGCAAATTTCTAAGGCGTATTGCTTAAAAGGCGTCAAAATAAACTTATATAGAGAGTATCAGACCACCCGTGCCAGCCGAATATCTCAAATACTGAGAACAGCAGACAAAAATGTTTCCTACAAAAGTTGTACGGTTTAGAGGGGGATATAAGGTAGTGCCATTGATTTGATCTTGGATAGTCATTTGTAGATCATGTAAAGGTCACCTTCAATTTCTTAAATGGAACCTCCTATTTTTCATTACATATTCTTGTAGCTGATGTCGAGAACTTTCCAAAACACTATAATAAAACATTTTTCATTAAGTACTTTTTGAGTTATAAACATTTCAAGTTAATAAACAATTTTTTTCATATAAAATGTAAAATATTGTGCAAAATATTTAGTTTTCGGTAATCATATCTCAATACTTTTATGCATGGAATAATGAGACGAATCAATTGGTGTGAAGAAAACACAGTTGCTTTAAGGGGATTCTAAACATCCTTGAGAAGTCAGTTGTTTTTTTCCTTTCTTATTTATATCGACAAAATATGTGATGAAAATATGAGATTAAATAAACTATAAATCTATTTATTGGCTATATCGATTGTTTTTTATCTGAAACTGGAACGCTTCCTCCTTTGTTAATATTAATACTTTAATTTGTACAGGAAAAAAATTTATCAATCTGTATAGTTTTATATATCTTGGTTACAGAATTATGAATGCTTAGAATTTATATTTATATGAGACTATACAGATCGATAAATCTTTTTCCTGTACAAATTAAAGTATTAATATTAACAAAGGAGGAAGCGGTCTAATTTCAGATAAAAAACAATCTGTATAGCCAATAAATAGATTTATAGTTTATCTAATCTCATATTTTGTCGATAAAAAAGGAAACAAAACAACAGATTTCTCAAAGACGTTTAGGATCCCCTTAAAAAGGATGTATGTAATGTGCACAATATTTTTTTAAAAGCAATTATGTGTTTTCTTTACACTAATTGGTCTCATTATTCCGTGCATAAAAGTATTAAGGTATGATTACCGAAACTAAATATTTTGCACGATATTTTATATTTATGTAAAAAAATTGTTAACTTCAAACCTTTATAACTCAAAAATGTTTATTATAGTGTTTTGGAAAACTCTCGACATCAGCTACAAGAATGTGTAATGAAAAATGGGGGATCTATTTCAGAAATTGAAGGTGATCTTTACGTGATCTTGACAACGCTATTCAAGGTCGTACTAATATTACTATGTAATGCGTTACTCGAAACCCTACAACTTTTGTAGGAAACATTTTTGTTTGCCGTTCTCGGTTTTTGAGTTATTCGGCTGGCACAGGTAGTCTGATACACTCTGTATATACTCATAGATAACATAAATAGTTGCTAAGTTATAGTAAAATAAAATTTATGTCAAATGTCGTTATTATTAAATAATTACAAATAAGCACCTAACTCATAAGAAATACTTAAAATGGCCGCCTTTAAAGGCTTATTTATAATAATAATGTGTAATAATAATGTTAATATAAATTTTGTTTCATAACTTTGCACTCATTCATTTTTTATATGGATATATATGAATATAAATTTTGTTCTTTATTGTAACGTGAAGAATATGTTCTAAATTTGTCCAAGTATTTTTAAAATTTTAATTGTAAAGTATTGTATATTTTTTGCAAAATTATATATCAATATTACAAGTTTTTTTGATAATTTTCTTTTTGTTAAATTTGAAACTAATACCTATAAAAATTAAAACTAATAATATAATATTAAATTACAAACTGTAATACGTAATAATATAAAAACAGATATACGCGCTAGTCAAAAAAATTATCGCAATACGTAATTAATATCGAAATTTCGCGTAAATTAAAATAAACGTATCTCCGCGAAAAATTATATTTGAAAAACATTTTTTTGTTTTAAAGGGTGAAGCCTCTACTTTAAGAAACTTTCGTTCGATTTTGATTTTATGCTCTCCCTTTCTCTCCACTCCTTCAAAAATTTTTCTCCAAAAATGTATGGATCATACATTTTTTCCATACATTAGAAGAGGAAAATGTTGAACTCGCGATCTTAAAGCACATTAACGTAAACGTCTTCTAATTGTTTGATCACTGTTTCTGTGAGGGAGATCTTCATTAGCAATTTGTCGTGCAATCATCGTTAGTGCGCGTCAAGTATCGCTAATGCTGGTGATAATTGCACAAAAATGCACAGATAACTTTGATATGCCGTAAGTCTGCCAATAAAAATCATACGAACTTTGCTTTTTTTTAATTTGTAGGAAAAAGTTCATATTTTATGAAAATTTGGATCAGATTTGCGATAAAAATTTATTTAACCCCTTAGAGTTTGTCGGATTTTGCAATTTTTTTGACAAAAAACACCTTTTTAAAGGGGTGGTAGAGAAAGGGGAAGAGGATGAAATCAAAATCGAATGAAAGTTTTTTAAAGTAGAGACTTTACTCTTTAAAACAAAAAATTTTTCGCTGAGATACGCTTATTTGAATTTACGCGAAATTTTAATATTAATTGCGTGTTGCGATAATTTTTTGATTAGTGTATAAGAGAAATGAAAGAATGATAGTTTTGATTTTTTTTACATAAAAATTATACAGATATTGTTACTATAAATTTTTTATTTTTGCTCATATCTTTTATTGTATTTTTTATGAAACAGATTTAAAAAATATACTAATATATAATACTAATAAAAAGAGATAAAAATAAAGAGGGTCGATAATCAGAATTATCAGCATTATTTGATGTAGTGCAATCATATTAGTTTTAGCTTCAACCTTTCACGATGAAAATAATTTAATTACGTAGTCAAACAGGATATAAAAAAATGCTTTTCAGCAATAAATAGTCATACATTGTTATGGCTGGAATGCTTCTTAGATTTTTTACTTTATTTATCGCCAAAAGACAGGACAATCACTTAACATACTTTTTTTCAACGTTTCAAATTTTTTTAAGTTTTTGAGTTTTTCGAAATATTATTCCGTATAAGAAATAATATCAAATGTAAAAATGTTAGTAGGACCTACACAGTCAATATTATTGCATAATATTTCACATTGCACAATATTATTGATTATAGGTTAAATTTAAGATTTATGTAATATATTATGTTAATCAAAAGTTTGTTGAAATATATATCTGAAAATATTGTATCTATATGTATCGTGCAATATCATTGTTAATGCACTATTTAGAGAGAATGTCATTAATCTTATTGTACACTATTATTGTGTCATAATATTGACTGTCTAAAGTTTGCTTAAGTATCCATGAAGCGACAGAAAATAGCATTATTAGTTGTGCATGATTGTATTGCTTGTGTACATTGTTGAAAAGCATTCAGAGATCCTGAAATGTTGCAGGTATGCCGCACAACGTTCCACCCATTGGAGTACCTCCACCCACTACAGAGACAAGTATGCCGAATTTGCCAATGCTACGACAGCCGTACGGAGTCGGTCCTGCGCCGCCGATGCAGCTGCAACTGCCTCAACAGCAGCATCACTCGGATGATATGGACGTGGAGATGGAGGACGCAATGCCGCAGAGTCTGAGTAGCAACGTACTAAAGGATAAACAACCAAATCTCAGTGATCAGTTGATCGCGGCGATGAATATGGGTAGCAACGTAAACGACGGTCGTCTAGAGAGTGATCAGGTACGCGAGTACAAAGAACGGGAACGCGACCGGGAGAATAGGGAGAGGAGAGATCGGGGCGATCGGGATCGTGGGGATCGTATGGACGTGAACGAGTGTAGGATGGATCGCAGTAGGGACAGAGGACGAGGACGGGATCGCGGTCGCGATAGACGAAGGGATAATCGCGAAGGTCGCGACAGGGAGAGAGACGACAGACGCGACAGAGAGAATCGGGAGGCCCGGGAGAGCGGCGTCAGACATTCGGAGGGACTGAGCACGCAGAATCAAAATGTTCAGGAGGGCGAAAGCATGGCGAAGAAGGAAGGCAAACCTAGTCTGGCTGAGCGATTGCGACAATTGGCGGATGGTACACTGCCATTGGATGATCGGATGGATAGGAATTTACGTGGCAACCGAACAGTCGAGCGCAATAACGAGCGAAGTGACAGGGGTTTCGAAGAAACCCCCGGAGGAGGAAGTGGCGGTGGTAGTAGTGGTGGTGCCGGTGGCACAAGTGGTGCTAGTAGTGGTGCTGGTGCTGGTGGTGGGCGGCGACCACTCAGCGACATGCCGATCTCCCTGATGGATTTACCGAAATTCAGCGGAGTTCTGCCCCCAGACCGGACAGATTTCCCGCGAGGACCGGACTTTCGAGGTGGACCGCAAGACGCGCGGGAGTTTCCACAGCGCGGCCTAACTGACCGATCTGATCGGCAGAGTTTCCCATCTCGGGGGGGTCCAAGGAGTTCGCAGATGGACGACTTTTTGGACCTCAGGATGCAGCCTGGCATATTCCCGGAGGACTACGAGGGCAGATTGGGTCACAATGGGCCGCGGCCCGACGACTTTCCACCAGCCAGGCTGGTTCCGACTCGAGAGGAGTTTGAGCGACCGGAAGTGCGTGCTCGTAGACCACCTGTGGACGAATACGAGCGCGAACGTTTCGAGTACGAGATGAGGCGCGACGGTTTTGATCCCAGGATGCAGGACTCCTTCGATCCTAGGAGTCACAACGAACGACCGGAGTTCGATCCTCGCAGAAGGGAGTTCTTTGGTGGTCCAATGGAGCCTGTGTTCGGAATGCCGCCACTGATGGGTCCCAAAGGGCCGAGGGGACCGGTCGGTCCCGATGGATTTGGACCGCGAGGATCCAGAGGACCAGGTAAGATAGAATCTTTTCTATTTTCTTCTTTGTGATCTTGCTTAATATTTTTTTATTAATAAGAATTGCGCATTTTTTTGGATGTAATTTGAGACCCAAAAAGAAGAAAAAAGTTGTATAAACATAGGTCCGGAAATAAGTAGTTTCCGAGTTATAACCACTTTTATGTTAAAAAAATTGTAATTTATAGTCCGCTTGGCATTACTCTTTCTTAATTTTTTAAAATTTATATTTTTTATTTTGTAAAAATGTAATTGTATCTACAAGTATAAAAAAATTTTTAAAAAACAAAAAAAATTTTTTTAAATTAAAAAATAAAAATTTAAAATCAAAAATAAAAATTTAAAATCAAAAATAAAAATTTAAAATCAAAAATAAAAATTTCAAAGTCTTGGTTAGTACACCAAGAGTAATATGTGCCTTGTGCACGATTTGTTTCCATAGCAACATCCGCGTTTGGTTCTTCACGCCTTCTTACGATTTAGATTTACAAAAATAAAAATTTCAAACTAAATAAACATAACAATTAAAAATTAAAAATTTAAGAAAAAACCAAGCGGGCTATAAATTACGATTTTTTTAACACAAAAGTAGTTATAACTCGAAAACGATTTATCTCCGGATCTATATTTATATAAATTTTTCTTCTTTTTGGGTCCCGAATCACTTTCCAAGTATTGCGGGCGATTTTCCGGACACCCTATAAGGATATACATATGAAATTTCAATATTATTGACATATTGGGTAGAAGAAAATAAATTAAATAAACAAAAGTAAATATTTTTATTTTAAAATAATTACTTTTATCAAAATTATTCTTATCAGAACATTGAAATGCTTATTTTAACAGAATAATTAATTTTTATTATTACATTAATATTTTATATATTCATCTGGAAAATGGAAACATCAAAAACTTGATTTAGATAGATAAATGTTTATATTTAATGAAAAATATCTATGTACAGAGTGATACATTTTAAATTTAACAGACAAATATCTGAAAATCACGGAGTTTTAGAAAAGAAAATACATATATTAGACAAAAGTTGTAAGATATATATTTAGAGGAAAACTTAATATAGCGTGCGCTAGAATTGCTTTTGACATCTTGCAAGGTTGTTCTAATTTTCTAAATGAAGGTGTCCTATTTTTTTTAGATAAATGAATTCTTTGCAATATTCAACATATAAAATTAAAAAGATAGGATGTCCAAATAGTGAATAGTTTACGCTATGTTTTAATTTAAAATTTTTGTACTTTAATTTTACTATTATAAAAATATAAAATATCTCGTAAAATATTTATTTTTCGATTATTTAATTGCAATACTTGCAGAAATGAGAGGAATTAATTGATACAAAAAAATCAGTTGTTTTTAAGAAAAAATATAGCTGCTAAATTACATGTTTTACACATTTTAAACATTTTTTACTAATTATATTTCTTCTGAAACCTCAGTGATTTTCAAATATTTGTCTGTTAAGATTAAAATAAATTACTATCTTTATTAAAGTATTTAAATCGTATTTTGTAATAGTAATCACTTCATTCAAATTAAAATTGCTGCCACTTAAAAAATAGTATTCAGGCAATTTTGCTAGAGAAAGTTTTCTATTGTAATATTAATTTTCTGATGATTTTCTCAGTCTTTTTATGTACACATTAATGAAAGAAATCAAATGATGTAAAGAAAACACATATTTGTTTTCTAGAAAAAGAATGTTGCAACTAGCAGCTACACTTTTTTTCAAAAACAACTATGTGTCTTCTTTACAATTGATTTCTCTCATTTTTCACTATAAAATAGTTGAAATAAGATCATTAGAAAATTAATATTTTGAGATATTTTATAGTTTATATAAGATTATGTCAAACTAAAGTATAAAATATCTCATAAATTATTCATTTTTGGCCGTCCTACTTTTATAATTTTTATTTTTTGAATATTGCAAGGAAAAGAATAGGATGGTTTATATACACTGGTCAAAAAAATTATCGCAACACGCAATTAATATTAAAATTTCGCGTAAATTCAAATAAGCGTATCTCAGCGAAAAATTTTTTGTTTTAAAGGTTAAAGTCTCTACTTTAAAAAACTTTCATTCGATTTTGATTTCATCCTCTTCCCCTTTCTCTACCACCCCTTTAAAAGGGTGTTTTTTGTCAAAAAATAGCAAAATCCGACGAACTCTAAGGGGTTAAATAAATTTTTATCGCAAATCTTGTCCAAATTTTCATAAAATATGAACTTTTTCCTACAAATTAAAAAAAAGCAAAGTTCGTACGATTTTTTAGCAGAGTTACAGCATGTCAAAGTTATTTATGCATTTTTGTGCAATTATCACAAGCATTAGCGATATCCGACGCGTACCAACGATGATTGCGCGACAAATTGCTAATGAAGATCTCCCTCACAGAATCAGTTATCAAACAATTAGAAGACGTTTACGTGGTTTAAGATCGAAAGTTCGATATTTTTCTCTTCAAATGTATGGATCATACATTTTTTTCATACATTAGAGGAAAATGTCGAACTCGTGATCTTAAACCACGTTTACGTAAACATCTTCTAATTGTTTGATCACTGATTCAGTAAGGGAGATCTTCATTAGCAATTTGTTGCGCAATCATCGTTGACGCGCGTAGGGTATCGTTAATGCTCATAGCGATAATTGCATAAAAAAGCATAGATAACTTTGATATCCCGTAACTCTTCCAAAAAGAATCGTACAAACTTTGATTCTTTTTAAATTTGTAAGGAAAAGTCCATGTTTTACGAAAATTTGGATAAGATTTGCGAAAAAAATTTATTTTACTTCGTCGAGTTCGTCAAATTTTGCAATTTAAAAAAAAACCCTACTTTTTAAAGAGGTGGAGAGAAAGGGAAATGATGAAATCAAAATCGAACGAAAGTTTCTTAAAATAGGGACTTTACTCTTTAAAAAAAAAATTTTTTTTTAAATATATGTAAACATATATATATATATATATATATATATATATATACACTAATCAAAAAAAATTATTGCAACACGCAATTAATATCAAAATTTCGCGTAATTTCAAATAAACGTATCTCCGCGAAAAATTATCGTATTTGAAAAATTATATATATATATATATATCCCCTTAAGTGATACAATCAGTTCTCTTAAAAATAGAACATTTTCGGAAAAAATGTTCTCTATGAAAGTTGTAGAATGTCGAGGAGGACATAATATCGTGACCTCGAATTGCCTTTGAGTGGTGTTTTTCAATACAATTATATTGCCATCTCGCCTTCGGCTCGTGCGTCCATCCCTCGCACTCGTGATCAATTGTCAACTTTCCGCACTTGATACATAATATACTATTTTTATCTTGCACTGAAATATCATTCTGTAGACACAAATGGTAAATGTAAAAATGTACACTGCGTTAAAAATCCTTGGTCTTCGCCGCGGCCATGTTAAATTGTGACATCACAGGCGAGAAAATACATGTTAAATTTTTGCGTTATTTTTAGATCAAAAGATATTTTGATGAAATACAACTTTAGATGGCTTTAGCACATTTTTAAAATATTTCGAAAACTAACCTTTTTCCCTTTATAATCAACAGTGAAATGACTATAACATGAGGCCTGATCCGTATATATAGCCTTGCACATACGCAATCATTTCGCATGACAAAGTCTGATGTTTTAGTTATTTTACGGTTTTTGATTGACTGTCCAGGGAAAAAATAGTTTTCGGAATAATTTAAAAGTACGTTAAACCCATCCAAATTTGTATTTCATCAAAATATCTTTTTATTTAAAAATGGCACGCAAAAATTTTCAATGTGTATTTTCTCGCTTCTGACATCACAATTTAACATGGCCACGGTGAGGATCAAGGAGCTTTAAACAGTGTTGTTGGTTGTTATCAGCTGTTAGAAAGCATTCATAGGATAGGAATACACGCGTGTGCGAACGAAAACATATTTTATGAGTTGAATGGATGAGTGGAAAAAGAATAATATTCCAGACATTCAGTTTTTAGGAAAATAAAAAGAAAATTTACTAATGAAATATACATATCAGTTTAATTAAAAAAATATTAATAGCTTAATATTGTAGATCTAGTCAATAAGTATTCAGTTCCAAAATATCAAAATAAAATACTCATTAGTTAATTATTATTAATTTATTATTATTATTATTAATTATAAATGCTGGAATGTTATCCTTTTTTTATTCAATATTTTGATAGAATTTTTCTTGCAACAG